AAACTCCTGAGTCCTAAACGTAGGTCAGTGGGTTAAGATGTTTCTCGAGCTAGCCAGATTTATCATGTAAGGGCTCATAACATTTTCTCACCAATGAGTAACTAAATATAATGGGGTCACAGTTCACATCAGCACCACAGCAGCATAAAGATAATACCGATTGATTCATCCACTTGATGATTAAAAAAATGAAACCAAGACAAAAGCTTAGAATAATGTAGTATAGATACCTGGCTTCTAAAAGCTTAAGCAGCCACATTAAATTCACAAAAAAAAAAAATAATAACACAGAAAGCGTGAACTTAATTCCAAAGAAACTGAATCGAAGATCAGAGTTCCAAGACATGATTAGATAAAGAGTACAAAAAATTGGATCAAACCAAGGGCTTTCTAGAATGACCGGGTTTTTTCAGTCGGATCACTCACACGCACACACTCGTATGGGTAGGTGTGTGTTGATCAAACAGTTAAAATCCATGTGTGGACACTCTTTAATGTTAAAGATACATTTTCTAATTCATTTCCGGATATAAGAAAAATCGACTTCAACAAAAAGCTATAAAACAGTACAAGGTTAATAGTAATCTGCACAAATTGGTTCGCACAGAGGGCCTACGGTACTTCCCCTGCAAAGTTAAATTCTCACTCAAGCACACTGAAAGTTTTCACTCAAGCACGCCATGTGTAAAGAATACTGAAAATCACAAAAGCAGAAGAAAAGATGGAGGAAAACCCGAAATACAAACGGACTAATTCTCAAATTCAAGATAACAATCTTGAGCGCTCCAAGGTTAGAAATAATCACAGAAATTAACAAAATCCCAACTACCAGTAAAAAGAATCTATCAGCCCTACCAATTCATAGCCCAATTAAACCAAACAAAAACAACAAACAAGGGACAGGCACGAACAAAATAAAGCGTTGAGCAAAAAAGCACAACCCACACAAACAAAATAGCCACTTCACAGAAAACGAAAACGAAATCGAGAAAATCGGTAATCAAGCAGATGGGAAAAAAGGGGGTTTCTGAAGAGAACCTCAGAGTAAATATGATCCGACTCCGGCGAAGTCCCCTGCGCTGGCAAGCCAAGGGCGGCGCCGATATCCTCCACGGCGGGCTGCAGCTCCTTCACCGACAGCTTCCCGTCGCGGTCGCCGTCGAGCTCCTCAAACTTGTGGTCCACAAATTCGTTGAACACTCTCTCGTTCCTAACCAACTCCATTATATTCGAACCGTCCATCACCTCACGGTTGCTTTTCTCCTCCTCCGTCAGGTCGCCGCTGTGCTTCTGCATCGTTCGTCTCCAGATAAATCTAAAGAATAAAAAGCCTCCACCCACCCAACTCCCACCAACTGTCTTTCAGCTTTTTCTTGAATTAATGCAGATGTGAAAGGGAAGGGTTTTAGCCTTTTAAGCTTTGAGGTGAAGTTCTCGTGACTGTGTGTGCAGGGTTTTTGGTTTGCTTTGTTAGTCAGACAATTTTATCCGATGGCATTTATATATTCGACTGATTTTGATGGTGAGCGACTGCGTGTAGAGAGAGAAGGGTCTGGATAAAGTTTGTGGCCAATTTCGTCCGTGAAAAGGACGTTTTTTGCGATCATAAAATTTGTGGTGATTTGAGGAGTGTTCGTGAAAATAGAATTGATTGTTCACACCTAATCTTCTATTATTATTATTATTATTTTTTGTCAAAATAATAGAAATTTTATAATTAGAACACGTAAATAAAACTAAAATTTTATAAATAGAACACGTAAATAAAACTATAACTCGACCTTTAGTGAGAGGACACTCTGAAGGAAGCCAAAACACCACAACGCACAAAAATTAATAACTTAATGGGATAATAACACAAAAAAAACCAATAATAACACATACAAAAAAACACAAAACACAATAAACATAAAATAAAGCCCTCCTCACAGTCGGACAATCGCACCAAGCAACCCTCGATAGCAACACCACAATCGACAACCAAATAGATTAGACCACTCTCCAAATTTCAGCACCAGAAACTGTAAGACCCACTTGACTAGAACCGAAACTCGAGATCCCAATCTCGCGTCTTGGCGGTCGACTACACCGCCTCAGTCGAAAAAAATTAGGATACGCCAATGGGGATTTTTGGAGGAAGACGAAGAGAAAGAGTTTTTTGCCTTAAATTTTGATTCCTAATCTTCTATCATACTATGGTTTGATTTGGCTCGTTTAAAGTTTATTTAATTAACTAGGTCTATGAGAATACATATATGCCGATTAAGGTCTGAACAATCTGGAAAAAATAAAATATTCTTAAATGATTTTTTATATTTAGTTTTACATGATTATTTAAATTTGAATATCATCTGACTCGTTAATAACAAACAAAGTTCGAGCTCGATCGAGCTCATTATTAACTCGTTAATTTAACAAGGTCTTACTCAATAAAGGCTCAAACTCAAACTCAAATGTTCAGAGCTCGAGTTGGATTCGACTCAACTCATTTGCTGCTCTACACACAACCACAATGAAAAGAAAGGATTATAAATAATTAAGTTATACCTAGCCTTTGTACTTTTCTTTAAAATCATAACATTTGACATTTAACTAAACAATTGGAAAATATATATAAGTGCTAAGCGGGATTACATACCCTTACTTAAAATTGTGTTAAAAAGTTTAAGGAAAATTATAAATTCTAGTTTTCCCATCTTGTTGGTTGCAGCCCTTCGGACTTCATAAAACTTGCATTAAAGTTCGTTAGATCATTTATCTGAGATTCAATTGTTGGTTTTTCATTAAAAAAATATTTTTGGTTTTTTTTTTTTTAAGAATCTAGATCACAATCTATCTCTATATATATATATTATAAGAACAACTATTTTCACTGAAATTAGTAGTACAAATTTTTGGGAGCATTTAACGCATACCTTTATTTGGAAACTTTTTAAACATATGCATTAATTGCTTCTATATACACGTTTTCAAATGTGATCAAATCAGATATGATAAAAAATATTGTTTCCTTAAATAATTTCATTGATGTCCATTATGATAAATTACAAGATTTATTTTCCGTGATTTATGTTGATAATATTTTGATCAAGGTAAATATTACAACATATTTTAATTTCTAACCACAATATTATTTTTTTCACAAATATTTGCTATAAAAATATTTATAAAAAATCGTAACAGGTTAGGTAGAATTTTTTCTTCCGATTAATCAGGCGAAATCAAGTCGGTGAATTAATCTTTACCAATGTAATTTTTTCTTAAGTTTTATTTCATTATATATAAAAAATAAATTATTTTTCAAATTATATAATTTACTATTTGAGATAATGATCAGATACATTAAATAGTTTCACTAATGATAATTAAAAATCTAAAATTAAAATATATTAACTATTCTTTAGAATTTATTTGTATATTATTGGCAACCATGATTATTTTTTTTTATCTTTTTTTAACTTCTTTCTATAATGAAATTATTGTAAAATATATTTTCATTACAGAGTATGCTAAATAAACTATAAATTCATATAATGCAAATTAGAATAATTGCTTGACATTTGCTAAATAAAAGTTGTTAAATTGGTATACAAAATTAAATTATAGAAAAAACATGTGTGTATATTTTGTAAAATATATACATTATTTAATTTTATATTTATTTACATATTTTAAATTGATTACATAAATAAATAATACTAATGTGCATTAAATATTTTTTATTACATAAAATAAAAAGAAAAAGAAGACGTATAACTTCTATAACTTTTATAAATAATAATGACATTATATGACAACAAAACTTATAATAAAATAATAAGTAAGTATTATACGGTGAACAAGAATAAGTAGAACTATTATTTTCTCCAATATCAAGAAATAAATATACGTATTAAAGCCAAATTTATATTAGTATAATGCGTTAGTGAGATAATATATTAATTATTTTACAAATTAGTCTTAACATACTCATATTTAATGTTATGGCTAAATAAAAAACGCTGATTAAAAGATGTGAAAAATAAATTATAAATGTTTTTAGACTTAACACTGATTAAAAGATATGAAAAATAAATGATAATCCAATTACTTTTTAGGCTTAAATGAATAAAAACTGTGAAAATAATTTATTTAATATCTTTGTCCTTACATCGGGCTACGTACTAGTTTATAAAAATAGACCGATAGAGTTTTTATATTTTTCTAATGCGTGTTGACAACTTCAAACTTTAGTGAGATAATATATTAATTGTTTTACAAATTAGTCTTAACATACTCATATTTAATGTTATGGCTAAATAAAAAACGCTGATTAAAAGATGTGGAAAATAAATTATAAATGTTTTTAGACTTAACACTGATTAAAAGATATGAAAAATAAATGATAATCCAATTACTTTTTAGACTTGAATGGATAAAAACTGTAAAAATAATTTATTTAATATCTTTGTCCTTACATCGGGCTACGTACTAGTTTATAAAAATAGACCGATAGAGTTTTTATATTTTTCTAATGCGTGTTGACAACTTCAAACTTTAATAAACTATTCTCATTGATTTGATTAGTTATCCAAACTCGATGAGAGTTATTGATTTGTTTTTATTTACATGAGTTATAATAGTCGTCTTCGGTTTGTTTTGTTTTAAGTTCACGTTTTTCGTCAATTGAAGCTCTATTTTATTTCTTACATATTCTTCATTTTTCGGCCAATTTTGCATTTTTTGGCGGCTTTAACGAAAAATTTTTCCAACATGTTTTTACAGGTTCCATATAATTATTTAATATACCTACTCATGTTGCATATTTTAATTAAATTACGTGAGAAAGTATATATTTCTATTGTAATTTGTATAAAGATGCACTGAATTAAATATAATTAAACATTAGAATATGTGAACTAAAATGCATATATTATTATTTTATCATATTCTCTTCATTACTTGATTAGTTTTTTAAATTTATTGGAAATACAAAACAGTAAGATGAATTTTGTAATCAACTTTTTAGTTATTTCAGTATATGTAATGTAAGGTATTAACTTATGACAACGAATAACTATATTAATGTAATTATATATAATTACATTGTAATTAAACTTAAAATGTTTTTTGAAAATTCAATATCAAGTTTTTTGCGATGGGAATAACATTTATTTTACACATATATTTACTACTAAACGTCGTGCAATATTGATTCTCAATACTATAGATAAAGATAGAAAGATTGCTAGTGGTTGTTTAAGACTCGCATAATGTATGTCTATCAAATTAAATATTGTCAAAAATTTGTTGTTTTATCAAATTAGATGTAATACACTTATATTATTTTCTATACAATCATTAATATAATTTTTAGATAAATGTTTTGCTTTATATATAAAGTATTAGTCGGTTCCAATACAGCTGTTGAAAATATTAGTGAGATAAATATATGCTAATCAAAAAACATGAAAATAACCAAATATTAACATAGCATATAATTTCTGATTTTTTTTTTTTAATTTTATTTATTTAAAACGAGAGAAATGTGTTGGGCCAACAAAAGTCGTGTGGTTAAGACACGTGGGGCGGTTGGGTGGTGGCGCCAAAAGTAAATTTGTGTTGAACTTTATGAAATTAACCTTTTCAATAATTTCAATTGTTAGCCTGGGCCCACAATGATGGGAGTCGGTTCTCAATTGATTGCATAGGCACCGGCAAATCCAAGTTCACGTAGCGAAGGGACCCTCATGGCTCATGCATAAATACAATAATAATAACTGCGATTTCGGATGCGATGTACGAGACACATATATTAAATAAGTCATTTTCATAGGACTTATTTGTTTAAGCACAAAAAACAATAAGATCGAATCATCTATTTTTCATATTTTATTTTAATCAATGATGTTTATTTTAGTCATAACATTAACATGTTAATTAATATATTATTCAACACGTTATACTAATATAAATTTAATTTTAGAATATATATTTATTCATTGATATAAGAAAAACAATAATTTTATTACTTATTTTTGTTCACAATATAATGATTAATTATTATTTTATTATAAAATTTATCGTCATATAATTTCATTTTTATTATTTATAAAATTTATAGAATTAGTTTACTTCTTCTTTTTAATTTTATTTAGAAATATTTAATGTACGTTAATATTACTTATTAATATAACTAATTTAAATTTATGTAAATAAATTTAAAATAAATATTTTTTATAACTGCTTACAAAATACACACACAAGTTTTTTAGAATTTAATTTTCTAATACTAAAGAAAAAAATAATAATTTAGCAATTGCCGAAAAATAAATTCCTTATATAATCAAGAGGTTTTTCTAATTTGCATCCTTTATATTTTTTTTATATACAATGGTAAATATTTTATAATTAGTTGTAGAAAGAAATCAAAATAAAAAGGATGATAAAAGATTATCATGGTTGACAATAATATACAAATAAATCACATATTGAAATTTTATAGAATAGTTAATTATTTGAGATAGCCACTAATGGACACGTATAATGTTGGTTGTGAGATTCAAAGAGTCAAGAGTCATATTCTACATAGGTCAGGCCTCTTAAATAGGGATAAATCTATTTATTGTAAAAGAGAGGGTTGGAA